ATTAAAAGATTGTTTAGATTCTCCATCATTGGAAATGTTAAGATTGAATGTTGCTGCCCTCTTAAAATATGCTTTTGTTCAACCACATATTAAGTTAAAGCAAAAAATAAATTCAGAGAAGCCTATGTTATATTCAAGCTGAGGCTCCATTATGGCGGTGCTTCATTATGACCTTAAAATATGATTTTAATGTCAGTTGCCCAGTTAGTCCTTCTGCTAGTGCAGAATTATCTTCTCTTGTTGTTGCCATGCTTAAGGCCAGTATATAGTTCCTCCCCGCAAAGAGATTTTCACTCCATCAGTGATATAAAATGCCAGACCCCACCTTTATTTAAAAGAGTTTATTCCAGAGGAATGTGTTTGAAAGCGTGTGAGTTTTCTGAGCTTCTAAGTTTGTGGTAAGGACTGCCTTTAGAATGTCTACAGCAGGTGCCATTTATATAAGGCCGTTAATCACATTTAACACATTCATATCACTGATTTAACACATTATTTTCACACTAACCCTCTGACTGTTCCCAGTAAATTCTTCTGGACTGCAAGATGTACTGATGAAAACATTGGATAAACAGAGACATTTTCCCCATGTATATGAGCAGTTTTGGATAGAAAAGTGAATATTGCACTGTGAACTTCAATGTAGAGATCAAATGCTCATGTAGAGGCTGCAGGCTAGCTAAATCTGTACAGATGAGTACAGGAATATGAGTGCATAAAAGAAGTGCTAAGGATCATCTATTTGGCAGTAACCTCTCAACATTTCATTAGGTTGTGGTTTCTGGAACCATGCACTGGTGGTTCTGGTTACTGGAGGAAGTAAGTAAAAAAAGAGGAATGGAAGAAAGCATAAAATAAATGCATCTATGTTCAGAGGAGAACCACAATGAAGCATCTGAGAGGATCAGATATTAATATAAACAATATAAGTGCTTTCTGGATATAGAATAATCTTTCTGATCAGTAAATGTATCTGAACTTCATGGCTGAATGGTTTTTGAATCAGGAAGTATATTAATGTGATATAGTTATACTAGTAGAAAAAACAGTAGGAAAGGAATAATTAATGTATTACTTGTCCATGATGAGAAGTTAGAGAATTTTTCTTTTCAAGTTCACTCTTTGAGTGGATTTGAGATAAATTGCAGTAGGCCTTTTTTTGCTGAAACGCTTGGGATGAACACAAATCTCATGTTCTTTTTGTCTGTACTTGCACAGACTTCTGTGTGTTGTATGAACCCTGAGACATCAGGTCGTCTATCAGTAGAGCTACGATACTAGGGTGCTGCTAGAAAGCGTGTGTATATCACAAACGTAAGGTTCCTGCTGGGTAACTAATACCATGACTGCAAGGCAGAGCTACAGTCTCTTTCATTCTCTGTGAAACCCCGAATCACTCTCAGCTGGATGAAGCTGACACCAACTCAAAAAACAGAAAAAAAAAGATTCACTGTACATGCCTGAGATACAGGCAGGAGAGCATGAGGCAGCAATCAAATGGGTGAATCTCCAGTATTTTGGAATTGACAGGTTGAATGTTTGTGATGAATTTCTTCTGTTGCCTGGATCATTTCATCTGATGTCTCCAGGATAGCTATGTCAGGCATCATATTTTCATACATTGTATAATCTTGGGTCATACATCATTGTTAAAATACCAGCAGTGAAATTTGCTTTGCATATTACGAAAGAAATGAAATAAATTACGAATATGCTGGGTCATATTTTCACCAATTTAATCATATCTCTCAAGAGTTTAGTTCAGTCTTTCTGTCTTTAACCTCAGACGATTCATAATAAGTGGAAGATGACTACTGAGGATGTGCAGAATCTCTTTATCCTGTTTGAATGTTCTCCTTCTTTTCACGTCCCCAATTTTTCATGTATCCACCCATCTACTCTTAAATTCATCCTTTTTGTTTTTCTCCTATTTCTATTTGTGTGTGCTTTCTTTGCATATTCTTGCTTTTTTTTTCATGTAAAATGTGTGCAGCACACACAAAACAACAATTTTCTATCCAAAATAAATAGGCCGAATTAAAAAAAAGAATAAAAAAGAAAGTAACCAAGCAGTAACAAGAGCAAAGTGCATTAGAGGGCCTAATGACCTGCAAAAGTTTCATAACACTTGCAGCATTTTATGTCAATTTCTCTGGCCTTCAGAGACTTAGGGAATTTACAAAGCCTCTTGTGCTTTAGCTGCCGTCTCCAACCATCATCGCAGTCAGAACGAAAACTGTGTTGCAGAATATGGAATTTTCGTGTTTCATAAAGAAAGTGAAATGCAGAATTTTAGGCAGTTTCCATTCCTCAGCCTGTGTAAAACAGAAAAAAGCAGTATACTGTGGGAATGGGACTGTGGCAGATAGTAATAATTTTCAGATGTCAAACACAGTTTATTTAAAAGGTACTGATATAAAAATATGTATATATTTGAACTTTTCACAGAACAGACGTTTGGAGTTCAGTTTTTTAACATAGGAAGGGACAAAGGCACGCTTAAATCAATTTGATTCCAGAAGGGCTTGATCTTTGTTCTAAAACTGAGTTTAAGTTTTGTTACTTCATTACTTTATCTAAATAAAACTACGCTTTCAATAACTTTTTTGATTCTTGTATATTGGAAAAATACAACATTACTGAGGATCAAAATGAACTAGATTTTGTTTTGTATTTTTCAATCATGTAACAATATCCACTAATTTATAGAATTAATACAAAGTTCTATTGCTTTTCCATACAGTCTGAGTAAAAGTCAGGAGTTAAAAATAAATACATCTAGGAATCCTATTTATAATGTTCTTTCTTTAGTTAAATGTTTAGTAATTCTTATTTAAGTCCTTCTATACTGAATACTGAAATGCTTGGTTTAATTACTGCATAAATCCTCATTTCCTAGTGTACCTGCATTGATGACCACAAAAGAGCATCATTCAGCTATAACTTATGGTCTATTACTAAAGACAGGTGAATATGAATTTGATAACCCTTTCTTTAAAATTTACAGTTCCTTCATATCCTACATACCCTACCAGTATTTTTCCTACACACCAACTAACTTTCAATATAATAAAGAACTAATATAACACGGATTCCTGAAATAAGCAAAATTATCGAGAGAAGAGTCACCTTTTCATTCATCTACATGAAACTTTGAGTTCAGATTTTGTATCTGCACTGTGGATTTAAGAAAATGCCTAGGAAAAAGGGGAAAACCTGAAGCTTTTACAACACTTTCTCATATTGTATATCTACACACAGTGTAATGAAAATGTCTTTAGCCTGACTCCCCCTCATAAATCTTACTTGCCATTAATGCAATTTATATGAAGGCAAGGTCTCTGCAGATTCATTAATCATTCATTACTATTTAAGTTTCATTTGTGTAACTTTGAGATTCATGGAGAGTGAAAACACGGATACAGTTTTTTTCAGCCTAATATAAAGGGTTTTTTATATATATAGACAATGGAAGACATATATTCTTCTCTACTGTTTTACTAGCAGTTGTGCAAGTTTTCTAAAGTACCCATCCTGCTGCTGTAATTTTTTAAGAGAAAGAGTGCCTGCAAATAACATTTCCATGTTTCATCTAGTACCTGTGTATGTATCTTATAGAAAGCAGCCAGAGAGATAACTCCCTTTTCCAAAAAGAGACTGGCAAATGAGAGCATTTCTAAAGCAGGTTTTCAATCTGAGGGAGTTAAGGATCTGCTTCTAAGTATACATGTGAAGTATCTAAGAATCTAGCAGATTCTTAGAAGTATCTAAGTATCTAGAAGAGCTGATAGAAGTACATATATTGTCCTTAGGCTTTCCTATATGGAGAGATCATTTTCTCCACTGAAAAAATGCAGGGGGACAAGTCAGAAGAGGTTGAGGACTACTGCTCTCACTGCTTCTGCAATAGGTACTCTTTTCCATTACCAAGTCTTGTTCTTTTTCTTCCAGCTTAATTGCATCCCATTCTACAGTCAAGAGTGGAGTCCTTCAATTAGCAAGTGTGGCCATCTGCTGGGGAAAAAAAGGAAAACACTGTAAAAATAAAATAATTCAGACGTATTAGAACTTAATATTCAAAACGTTAGTATCTTAAACTAGCTAAAGATAGCTAGAAAAATATAGAAGTTCAAGCCCTGGTTTCGACTTTATTTATTTATTTTATATTTATGGCATTATACTTTGCCCTTCCTCTGTATCTCTCTCTCTGTTTTTTTTTTTTTTTTCTTTTTTTTTTCTGTCAGCGTAGCAGTCCAAGTAGTCCATTCGGTCAGATCAAGTGCTTCCTTGATTGCTAACACCTGCAGTTTTCCTCCAACCTGAATTAAGCCTATTAAATAGAAACTGTATATGAGAGAAGAACAGATCACAAGCCAAGACATTACCAGTCATTTTCTTTAACGAATTATCAGCAATTATTGCTTTATTTGGCTGGAGCACTCTAAATTTAAAACATGAGTTTACACAGACATCCTTAAATGGTCTATGGATGTCTGGCCATCAGAGAGCAATCACTGCTCACCTGCTAATCTTCCATTTGCAGGAAAGCTTCCCAGGAATTCAATTTTAATTTAGCTATCTTCATTTTAAATCCTTATCAAACAAATATTAGAGCTGAGAATAAAATGGCAACAGCTGGTAATGTTTGTTAATAAATTATCAGCAAGGCCATATGCTTGCCTACAATTGGCTTTGCCATCACAGCATTACAGCAAATGGAGCAGGATGCGATTAAATTTATATGTTTTGTTGGGAAGAAGGGGAGAGTTTGCTAAATGTCAGAACTGCAGGTAATATAGTCTTTCCAAAAGCAGGGGGGAGTTCAATAGTAAGGAAAGTAGTCCTGTCTTATCTAAGCTGCTTTCTGAACTAATTTTACACCTCTGTTTCTGAAAGGCTGTGATAACTGTGAGCACAATAAGTGCTTTCGACTTATGACGTGTTAACTCACTTAAAAGTAATAGTAAATAGTAACAGTAAGTGACCATTTCCCGTTGGGGGAAATGGCGGGCGCGGCCGTTCGCGCCTCTCCCTTTTCAGCTCGCGGCCGTGAGTGCCCGCGTATCCCCGGGCCTTCGGGGCCGCGGCCTCGCCGTGGGCGCAGGGGGAAGCCTGGAGGAGGGGGCTGCTCATGGGGCTGCGAGGCTCCGCTCGTGACCCTTTCCCCAAATTTTCCCCAAATCCCTTTTCGTAAAAGGTTTCCTGTAAGGTGTCAGGATCCCACGTGGGAGGTTGTGCTTCTGGTAATGGGTTGAGAGATACCTGATTATTATTATTTTCCGTTGTGTTGTTTAGGCTGGAAAGTTGTTCCCGACTGGCGGTACGGCTGCAAGTTGTCTCACAGAGGTTTTACCCAGGGTGAGTTTCAGGTGCCCAGTGTGAAATTTTTCACAGTAGTGCTTTTAGGCGGGCCTTAAGTAGGAATGATCTGTTGCTTCTCCTAGGTTGCAGTAGGTGTCTTCAAAAAAAAAAAAAAAAAAAAAAAATCATTGAAATCTAAGTAATTCTTTTCCCTCCCTTCACTTTACAAATTACTAATGCAATGTTAAGGATTGTAGCTGTTTTTTTTTTTTTTTTGTCAGATCAAATGAAATAGCTAGTATGGTCATAAAGCACTTCTGTGAGTTCATTTTCCCTTTGCATGTATTGCAGAGTTCACCATGTTTGCTTGGATAGGGCTAAATATAATTGCTCTCCCTGATTCTGGACTTGTTACTGGGAATTATAATCCCTTCTGATGGAGAGTGTTAGTTAGCAAGGATGCCCTGGCAGAACAGAGCTTCCCACTGGCCCCAAGTACCTGCAGAGCCCCAGGATGGCGAGTACACAAACATCACCTAAGTAGCAGCTCTGCCTTTAGTTGGATAATTACAGCAAAAAAAAAATCTCGGTTACAATAATTTATGAAATTGCACTGCTCATATGGGAGTTTTTGTGAATTAAGCCGAGTGCTTTAAGTCTTGGTAAATTAACGCCTACTTCTCATGAAGACTATTTATGCAAGGAAGCTGTTATCCATTGTAAAGATGAGACTGGAAAGCTGAAGCTTATGAACTCTCTCACCATTTTGCTTGCTGGTTTGATAAAATTTAGTTATGTTGACTTTGTGTTCAAAGCATCAGGCTCTACAGTTAGGCACATGTTGCAGCTCTAGAATGTCTATTTTATTTGTATGTCTATGAAATCACACTGAAATAGCTGGAATATGCTTTATTTTTATTAACAGTTTGTGATTGTAGCTGATAGACTTACTTTTTTTTTGTTTGTTTTTTTGTTTGTTTTTTTTTTGTAGCCAGTTACTCCAATTATTGTGAAAAAATTTAGAAATACAACAAATCCAGCGCCTGGTGTTGAAAGAATATTCTATGGCAGAGCAGATGATCCGGATGTTGCATCTCACTTGACACATGGCATTAGTTCACGTTCTTCACTTGCTGTAAGAATGTGAATCTCTTATATAATAATGCACCACTTAAGAACTTACTTAATAAATGCAGCTAGTTTCTTCATGATCAGAATTAAAAGCACATAACAAAGTGATTCGTGCTGCAACAGTTCACTGCTGTTTTAGCTTATCTAAATTCTGAGACCAGTTTCTGGGATTTAATTAGCATGACTGAAAAAGGAAAACACTTGAAATTCAATGATTTTTATTAAAATACCTTCTAGAGTGTTGACTGAATTATTTCATTTTCATTTAATCTGAGGGCTAGTGAGCTCTTTTCTATTCACACAACTTTTGTTGCTTTCCCCTTAGCTGAATAAAGAGAAAACCTCTTTAGCAGCCTAGCAAGAGAGCAATCATCCAAGAACATGATTGTAATGTAGCAGCATTATTATGTTTCTTTCTTGCTTTTGGGTTGAAAATGATTTTGCTAGTGAAATAGCGATAGTTTGAACATGTCAGACTCTTTTGTATATATTCTTCAGAAATGATTGGTAAGATGTAATCAAACAGCTGAAGAGCTCATTAGTGCATATTAGAGATTTGAATAATAATCATGTGATCTAAAAACACATGTGAGCAATATTTGGGCTTGAAAATTAGTAATTTTCAGTTTTACAAATGAAGAAATTGAGGGCAAGAAGTGTTTAGGGCTCCAGACTTTACAGGTTTAAACTTCAATTTGAAACACATAAGACATGATATTTTAGGATGTTGAACAGGACATTTATTGGACCTAACCAAAATGAAAAGCAAACAGACAAAAAGAACTCACAGGTTCTTCTTACTTCCTCAGAAGTTTTATGCTGAATAGATTCACTTGTTTAACCTGTAATATCTGTTGAGAGTTCTTTATTATTAACTAAATACTGACTAGAGGAAGAGTTCGAATCTTGGTAAGTTCTGTAAGCACAGATTATAGAGTGGTCATTTATTACTTTTTTTTTTTTTCCCCTCTGCCTTTGTATATTTAAAATTCAACAAGAGACTAATAATAAACCCTCAGATAGCCTGAAAAATCATGGTTTTGGAGGATCACAATAAACTTTAGGAATTTTTCAAATTTCTTTTTTATTTTTTTTTCCTGAAGTTGATCTAACTGTACAAATAATTTCTATTCGCCCAAGCCCTCGGCCGCACCAAGAAAACATTTTGTCCCAAGCAAGCTCTGAACTTTGAGCTTTTGGCAAGAGTCGTTTGTCTTGGTATGTCTTTTCAGGTTGCAGTACTAGTGTAGTTTTAAAATGTTTTATTTAAATTCTGCATTAGTGTAATTGGGCTTAGATGTTAAAAAAATATGTTGTCCAACCAATGGACAACAGATCTTTTTAATAATAAAGACCCAGGAGACTTTGTTCCAAAAATGTTAAAACTGCAGTCATGTTCAAAGTTTATATATATTACAATTTGACTATAGTTTCTAATATGCACTAAGAACAGAAGGACTGCTATCTCAAACTTTATAAACTAATGTGTGGAAAAATACATATTAAAAGCAAAAATTCTATCTTACAATACTTAATTTAGCTGGAGATTTAGCATACAATTGATTATTAGTGACATTATCACAGAATCAGTATTATAGTATACTTTTGTTTTGCAATTTGACTAGTCAGATTGTCAGTCTAACCATCTCACTTGAACACCTACTGTCACACTGTTATTCTTGTATGCGTGTTGAGGAGATATCCATACTGAAGTGTAAATGAATAAACTTCCTGTATTTTCCACCTCTGTAGGCAGGCTTGCTGATAAATCCAATTCCTAAAACTAATTTTCAACAAAAAATACAAGATAGAAAAGAAGCAATCTATTTGAGTAATCGCCAGGCAGCCTTGGGCAGATCACACGATCCAACTCCCATGTTACCCGCAGGCTTGGATATAACAAATACCACATTTGGAACAACGGTTATTCGCGGTAGGAAAATTTAGTATTAAAACACATTGTTCTTAAATATAAGATAACCTATGGTTTAATGTTTAGTGCATACTCTATGCTTCCAACAATTTTAGTTTAATAGGAATTTATTCTTCTTATAGCAGTTACTGACATAGTGGTGGTGGAAATGCGCTAACGTTTTTAGTATGATGAATTGAGAGATAACTAAGAGAATTTTATCACCAATACAGCTTTTTGTTGTGCTCTGCATCTACCTTCATAACTTTACCTTCCTTTTTCTGACTATTCCAATAGGTCTAATTGATCAAGGATACTGCCTTGAGCAATGAGCCTTTCCTTTACAGATCGGTGCAAATCACGTTGACCATTTATCTCCCTGCAGCAGTTATGTTTGTCTCAGTTTCTATGATTCTTGCCCTTGATAATCTGCAGTATTAACATCATCTCAATAAAATACTATATATATGTTCATTTCAGATGTTTCAGGTGGAGAACTTATAAATCCACCAAAAACATATGAAGAAGTAGATAAACAAGCCAGACAAGGACATGATTTGTACATCAAGTCACACAATGATTATTATGTGGGTAAGTGATAGTTGATAAACAACTATATGAAAGATATAATATGAATAAGGGTATCTGTATTTCTTGGTGTCTTCAAAACATATTGTAAAGTAAGTTCTAGTAATATAATAAAAAGTAACGCTTTGTATCTCAAAAATTATTTGAAAATAATATTCATAAGCTACCTGGATAGGGTCCTGGCCAATATTCTCTAAGTGATCCTGTTTGAGCAGGGGCGTTGGACTGGATGATCTTTCAAGGTCCCCTCCACCTTCAACCATTCTGTGGCTCTGTGGGGAAAAAAAATTCATATACGTTTGAGGGAACACAGTCTGTTTCTAGAACTGTAGAGCATTTCCTGGTGGGCATATTAGGCACTGCTAGAACTTAATGAGGGAGTTGGGAATCTGTTTTTTTGGGGTGCTAGTTGAAAAGCAGAAACCTGGGAAGTCCTTGATCATGTGGTTGTTTAGCAAGTTTGACATTGCTTCACTGAGAACAGTTGCAGACTTGGAACCACAAACCTTTAGTCCTCCTCTCCTGATTCCAGTACTTTCACCTCTGGTTTTTCCTTCTTACCAGGAATCCAAACAAAATTGTGTGGCATCTGGACCTCCTGATGGTGAGCTCATTGTGAAGGCCTGTTTAAAACAAGGAACTTCAGGTTTCTGTCAGGCTGTCTGGAATTCAGGATCCTACTTGTCCCACAGCTATGATCATACCACTTCCAACCCAAGCATTTTTACCACTTCTTCACCCTCTGCATTTACATGAGTAGATGGCTCAGTGCTGGTTATCTTGCAGGTGTAGACAGGAATAAAGTGACAAATAGTATCCTGAAACGCAGCACATGTTACTGTTACAGCCAGTTCTGTTTTTTTTTGTGTTTTTTTTGTTGTTGTTGTTGTTTATTTTTCAGTTCCATTGCTTTTATTTTGACTATGAGACTTAAGTTTTTATTCCTGAAAATTCAGGATAATAATAATAAAATTGCCCATTGTAGTAATACTAACAATTCTGTAAGTGTTGGACAAATGTGTAGAGAAGCTGCCACACAGGTTTTTCAGTTGAATGATCTAAGTTTCATATGGTTGCAGTTATTGAGAAGTGAAATGATAGTAACCATATTTCTCAATGCCAAATTCTGCAGGAGCAAAAAGTCTCGGTATTGATATAAACTGTGAAAACTTATAATTTAATTTGACCCCCCCACACACACACACCCTATTTAACACGGGAGGCATTTTAGTGGAATTACTCACTCTGTCTCTCTACAATTCCTTTCCACAAGATCATGGAAAGGCAGAAAAAAGGCAAAAAAAAAAAAAAAATGAACAGATGAGTTGAGCAGTAAGAACATAAATGCTGTCTTTATTTTTAAAAGAGTGTTTTGAACCATAATATAAAAGGCATGTGTTGAAGTGCAGCCTGAGGAAGCCTTTATTAGAAGCAGTCAGTAATGTTTTCCTGAAAGTTGCGATTGCTGTTCTTCTCAAAAGCAGTTTGAAAGCAGCAAAGAAACGGAATGACGTTTTTTTTTCTTCTTGGCAAGAAATGTATGCTTGCAGCTGACTTGCATAGAGTACTTAGGTGAAGTACTGTAGTACTTCCTTGCATGTGAAACTTCATTAATTCCACTGGGTTTGTCCTGAGACTTTACTCAGATGTAAACGAAGGCACAGGTGGCAACTTTACAACTCAAGTGTTTTCTGTCTTCACTTTTAGCAAAATCATTAAACTACTTGATAAGCATAAGCATGGAATCCACAATTCCCTTTGCTCCCTTATTTAACTAATTTGACTATTTAAATAATGAAAAGTGTTGTTATTGATTTGCTTTTAGTTTCTTCGTTATTTTCTCTTAAGAATGAAGATAACTTATTTTAGAATATGTTTTCTTGTTGGGATTTTCTTTTTTATCCAGGCTGAAATATTTATGTTTTCTACAGGAGAAGTAATAAATAGAAAATATGATTCACCAAATTTCAATAGGTTTCATGTTTTTGGAAAGGAAACCCCTCACTTTGAAGATGGACGAAATGTAGCCAGATCCTTGAATTGGCTCGTGGATCTACAGTCGTGAGTTGCAGCTTATTATTTAGTGGTGTGAATTTTCAAGAAGAGCCTTCATGTTTGACTTTATTTTTGGGGAGGTTTCAAAACAGTAAGATTTTTTTGATTACTGATTTTTTTTTTTTGTCATGCAAGGAAGTTGCTGTTTCCTTCTAACCTACAATAATATTGCAGAACAGTTATGTCTAAGAGTTATTTTCCAACCTTGTAGAAAGAAGGCAGCAAAAATCGTATCCAAACGAAGTGATGATTTCAAGGAAAAGTTTCAGCCTCAGGTTGGAAAAGTGCTTGATCCGTAAGTAAGCAAAGATGCCTTCCAAGAACAAATTCACTCAAGCTACTTGCTGAGCCTCAAATACCCGGTTCTGTCTGGTGTAAATAGTATTACTGAATACTCAAAGCTTCCATTTGGCAGCAATTTGCTTAACAGAAAGGGACCTTCTGTTTGCACTGAGTAGTCAAATTTGTACAGAAGATACTGCTGAGGTCTGTACTGTGGCTATGTTGTGAAGCTGACCTGCTGTTGAAAAGGTCTGTATCAGATCTGATCAAATTTGCACCAGTGCAAGCAGGACTAATGCAACTGAATTAATGGCCCATTGAAGGTCTGAACTATGGATTCACAATCTGTACACCTGGTAAATCAAAATCCATAGAAGAGGGAGTCTTAATTCTACAGTTTTCCAGGTTAAGTGGTAGTTACACAGGCAAAAGATAGGAGAGAAAAACGAAGGCTTCATCACAGCATGAATTATTGAAAACAGTCATTTTATATAACATTTATAAAGTAAGGAAAGATATATATATTTCATTTTGAGGAAAATTTGGATGATGTCTTTTCTTAAAAATGGCAATAATTTACTAAATCTGAGAAACTGAAGCCATGTATTTTAGTAAGCCATATAAGTACATAACCTAAGCATGTGTTTATGTGCATTGATTAAAAAAAAATATGATTTATATAGTTTCGAGAGGAATTATTGTAGAATATTCTTTAACACTTTTTTAAAATTATTATTAGTTTTTTTTCTGTCTTTTGCAGTTAGGAAAGTTTGAAATGACTGAAATATTTAGGCTGTTGATTTAGTGGCTAGACTATTTTACCTGCTCTGACACTGATTTTGATGATCTTTTCTTACATTGACTATATTCTCACTTGAATAGTTCCATGGAAAAGGACATAAAATGAAAATCATATTATCTAGCAGCATACATTAAATCAATGGAACTGCAGATTCTTGAAGCATCATGACAATACTTCACCATCAAGTGGTCAGAACATCTTTTTAAGGTTGCAAACCAGAGTTACAGCAGTCCTGAAGTACTGTGGGGTCAAGATTCATCTGTGCTACAAAGCTGGGCTTTCTGAATGTGTGCAAAGACTTTCTAGTCTGAAAGATTTGTGTGAGATTTTTGTAAAATTATGTCCAGAGACTCATAAACAACATTGTTGTCTTTTTTCTTTAATCAAAGTTTAACCTCACAATCATTTGCTTAAGTGACTCTGAAGAATTATGTGCATAGTACCTGTGGAGATTGGACTTGAGTGAGAGTAATTTCTCCTCTTTCTTTCCCTGTGGTCAAGTTTATTTTGAACTAGACTTACAGTGTGAGCAACATGAAGCAGTGTGATTGGTCAGAGTATCTGGTTTGCAAGCTCAAACCTAGCACTATTATTACAGTATAGATACAAGGTGATTTCATTTTATTTTGCAAATTTTACAGTATCCACATTCCACCTGTAATATGAAAATGATCATAAGGGGAAAATACACATGACAGTCTTTAGGTTATATTGTGTTCTCATCTCTCTGCTTTTACCTTCTTTCGGAAGAAAGAGTAACTGGCCCAGCTCCCTCAAACTTTCCTCATAGGGCAGGTGTTCCAGGATCATCCTTGTACATCCTTGTATTTAGCTGTGTTATGTTATTAACAGCAAATCTTTTAAATGGGTTTATGAAAGGGTGTTTTTCTGACTGCACTATGAGGAGAGACTGAGGGAGCCCCTGTTCAACCCAAAGAAGAGAAGGGTGAGAGGAGACCTGATCAGTGTATACAAATATCTCAAGGGAGGGAGTGAAGAGGATGGGGCGGGCTTCTTTTCATTGGTGGCCACCGACAGAACTGGAGGTAATGGCCACAAACTGAAACACCAAAAGTTCCAAAGGAACTTAAGGAAAAATTTCTTAACAGTGAGGGTGACAGAGCACTGGAACAGGCTGCCCAGAGAGGTTGTAGAGTCTCCTTCTCTGGAGATCTTCAAAACCCGCTTGGATGCAGTCCTGTGCCATGTGCTCTAGGTGACCCTGCGTGTGCAGGGGGGTTGGACTAGATGATCTCTAGAGGTCTCTTCCAACCTTAATGATTCTATGATTCTATTAATGAATTCAAGATAAAATCTTTGTATTAGATGAATTCCTATGCATATGTCTCCTAATAGTATAGTAGAAGATCATATATATATTTAAATAATAGCTTATTTTTTTGTCTACTAGTAACATATTTAACAAAATAGTATGTCTCTCTTGGCAGTATAGCAGAAACTATGAATGTTCCCGCAGGCCATACATTTGGAATGTTACTCCGTCCAGATGAGTATGGTAAGTCTTGTAGGATAAAACCTTGTCTTGTTGATGAGACTATTCTGAAGTAATTAGTATCAGTAGTACAGAATATATATTTTTCTTAAATACTTATACTCAAAGAAACAAGGTAAACAGATTTAGCAGAATAACATTATTTTTGGGGGTGTAATTTCAGAAGAAAAGAAATTCCTAGTGAAAAAGCTAAATATCAGAATAAAGAAACTTCATGTGTTCAGATTTTTATTAAAGGTATCTGTTTCTTAATATAAACCAAATGGGAACTTTAAGAGGCAGAAAACTCACCTTGACATCTAAATGACAGTATTAAAGGGTCTACTTAAATCAGACATGTTTTTCACACAGTGATTTTTCTTGTGTAAAAAAAGTACAGATAATAACAAGCAATATGTAAGAAAATAAGTTCTTGAAAAAGGAAACTGCTAACAAATTGAAAGCATATATATGTATTTTTAATGTAAAAAACTCAGTCTAAATAATGTGAGGAGTCCTTTGTGTGAGTATAGCATGATTAGGGAAGAAAGATTCACAGGACATTTCTGTGAATGTAATGGATTTCTGTGCATGAGTGCCCAATTTTTCTCTGAACTGGTTCTATTTTTGTTAATAAAGTGAAGATACAAATAGTCAAAAGGAAAGTGACCATGAGATAGTTGAAATTTTGTGGTGTCATAAGATCCAAACAACAGGTACCCAAGGATTCAGAAGAAAAGTAGAATCATAGTTCTCATAAAAATTACTATGTTGTAGAATTACTCAAGATTGGAAGTCATTTTTGAAAATGTGCACTTTCTGTATATATGAAAGTAATTGAAGAAGTGTTCATTTTTATAGGAGCTGGTGATCTTCTTCACTGCAGGATTCCCAGTGAATTCCTGCGTGGTAAAGACAGAGAGCGAGCTGTCCTTACTGCTGTTCGGCAAAGTTTGAAGAAAGCCAACTACCACAATTTTGACACGTTGCTAGAAGCATTCAGGTATTATGATAAGGTTAGTGCTTTGAAAGAACGTAAATGTAAAGGATTGTGTGACATTCGCCTTTCCCACTGTGGACAGGAAACACAATCATAATGAAGTAAATATACCTAGAAAATATATGATAATTTCATAGTTATACTATGAGTTTAGTATACAGTCACGTATTCTGATTCATCACAATGCTAAGATAAAGCTGTATTAAAACTGTGTGCTAACACAGAGATTGATCTTGTACTTCATTTTTTTTCTTTTTATATAGTGTTTTTTCTGCACATTTTTACTTTTGTCTTCTGATTTTTTTCGTATGCATCTTAGACTGAAAATCTTAGAGTAGAGGAGCTGGCAGAAAATGTTTATTATCATCAACTACACTTCTGTCTGCCAAAATTCCAAGCAAAGGTGTCACCCCTACTTACATACACAAAAGAAATCTTAAAAAAAAAAAACAACCAAAAAACCTTCAGAACCAGTTAAGATTGTCGCATTATATACTTGCTACAAAATTGCAGGTGCATACCTTAGTATTTAGCAGAAATGCTGTGTGCACCAGATGATTTGCTACAGTGGTAGCTCAGTAATTTTAAGACAGCCAGACTTCTAAAATCTAGTTTCTCAAATTGCTGCTTAACAAAACGGTTAGCTACTACAACAGCCTTTCACAGTAGTATTTGGAGATGTGATTGACTTGGTCCCTCTTTGACTTTGTGCAGACAGAAAGACTAAACTTGTAGAACTGAGTAATATTTGTAGAGTGACACAAACAGAATAGTGTCAAACGTGTTTTACTAATATGTGATTTTGTTTGCATCCTGATGGTAAGATACTTCTTTGAAAGATGGTATGATGTGCTGTGTATGATGTACTGAATTAACCAGGATACAGAAAAACTGCAGTTAAGTTGTGTGTTTTTTGGCCAATACATATTTGTAAGAATACTAAAAGGTGAGATTTTTGTTTAAACTACAAAAAAAAAATCACATTAGTAAACTGTGAAAGATACAAGTGAGAGAACATTAAATATTTGGTTTCAAAACTGGCCCGGAAATTGGTCTTCCTAGAGGACTAGCATGATGCATGGTTTCAGGCTCAGAATTCTATTGATTTCCAAGAAAATGGAAAGCAAGAATCATCAGTGAATGAGAATAATCTTAGTGTTTTTTACCCCTCAATTTTTTATTTTCTTGATAGAAAAATGTTTGAAGAGATTATATTCATATTTTCTTCTAAATTGTACTTTCTTACTGAGAAGTCAAACTTCAGAAATTGTAGATTTCTTCCCTCTTCCCCCCAGGGGAAAAAAAAGGAATTATAATTGATGTTTCATATATAATCTTAATAATAATCTGTATAGAATGACTGACATCTTACTTCCAAAAGAAATACTGGCTTTGCCTCAACATTTGTGATTAGGTTGTTATCTTGTCACAATACAGTGTCACACTGACTTTCTTTCAATCTCAAATTGCTGTGTTATTTAAGATGAAAATTATTCATTGAATACTTTAATATTCAGATTTTGAATTTCTAAATTACTTATTTTTTGTGTTCTCAGCAATGCTACTTTTCTGGTGTGGCTCATTTGTAGGTATGTTTGAATGTATATATAAACTGTGTATGTGCATTTCCTTTTCACTGAGTGCTTCTGTATTTTCATGGTGGTTACTTTACCAACTATTTTATTTTATTTGTAATAGAATGGTGATGGGATGATAGACAAAGATGACCTGCGGAAGTCCTGTTTTCAGCTGAATCTGAATATAGATGCTGTGCTGCTGGATGCCTTATTTGACTATTGTGATTTGGATAAAGATGGTCTGATTAACTATTTGGAATTTGTAAACTTCTTGAATTGGAAAGATAAAATGGCTGTTAAAGAGTTTGAAGAAAAAATAATTACGAAAGGTAGGTGACTGAGTACTGGGAAATTGTTCCTACCACGACTACCAGAAGGACCCTGCTGAAGCATGCAAGGTGCTTGCTTTAGAAGAATAAGTCTTGGCATATGTGTAGTCCTTGCATGCCAAGAGTTAGTAGACCCTATTAGATGCAAACATATTTCAGACTTCTGTGGGTTTTGTGCTCCATTTTCAGTGTCACATAAATCAGAAGGAAGTAAAAACCTCCTAGACTCCTTATGAAACAAAAAACCTCCTAGACTCCTTATGAAACACGCAGATAATTGTCACATATTTTATAGTTTTTTTTTTTTTTAAGATTTAAGCAGACATTATTTACCTCCCAGTTTCTAGTGTGCTGATAATTAATCCAGGCTACTTGATAACTTTCACATCTCATAGGCATAAAAACAGATACTTCTGCACCTGAACTGCCTGAAAACAGAAAGACAAATGATATACCACTGTTGAAGCAGGAAGATCTTGTGTTAAAAGAACCAGGAAGCTCAGAAAAGACACCAAAAACACTTACAAGACCAACAGATAGTGTGTTTGCAGATTATCAGACAACTTCCTCTCAGTATAATGCTGTAGTTGGTGGGCTCCCCACAACCTGTAAGTACAATGTGCTCTTCTTCTGAGCCTTATTTAAGACAAAGTCAGAAACAAGTTTGAAAAATACTAATACAGGTACTAAAATAGTACAATATAGTAATACAATATAGTAAGTTAGTTAAATTTATCTAATAAACCAAATTTGTTTAGAATTGTGCCTTGGAAGTTGGCATACCTTGAAGGTTCAGCATTCAGAATTTGAAAGGTAACCTAGGTTAACCTTTGAGAAATTAAACTAGGCATTTTAAGAGAACAAGATCTCTCCAGAATCATCCAAAAATATTTATAACTGAAAGTGTACTAGAAGAATATTGCAAGATTACTGCAAGGTTTACTGTTTTCAGAATTCATGGTTTAGTTGAAGCTAGGAAGTCTTAAAAACATGAGAAAAAAAAAAGGAATAAAATGAAAAATCATATTGAATGTATTTGAAGCAAAATATCAAGTTAGCTCTTATTTAATAAACACGTTTTACCTTTTCTGGCTAGGAGTCATTCAGTCAGGCTGCTCCTGGTTCTGTAACAGTCTGTTTTACATAAAGACTTTCTCTGTTGCCTGTTTATCAATTTCCACAGATTATCCAGTGTGTGGTGTTCCAACCATTCGTTCAGATATTCCTGCTCCTCGAGTTCGCCGTATTAGTGACAGAATTAATTATGGTGATGAAGGCAATGCTTATGCATTATTGTGTCCTTCTGTCTTCAGTCAAAAAGGAGTGTATGAAAGAGACTTTTTCAAAGCAAGACCAAAGTCAGAGGTATAGTACATTTCTTCAGAATATTCTTCCAAGATAGGTGTAATCCCTATAGCCACATAGGAGTGAAAGGACATGTTGCCGAATAAACAGGTTGTAAAGTTTGTTCTTGAAATATTACCATATTTCTTTGCATTCATTCAGTCATCTCAAAAATATACGCTCTTCACGTTCCAAGTTATTCATAAAGATGACAGTTACTCACTTAATTGAGATCCGACTTAACAAAACTTCCAGGCCTTTCTAGTGGCAATATAGCACTACGTGAAAAGAATAGAGGTTACTTCATGACAGAAGTTATATGTATAAATGCAAGGAGTTTTACAATGAGTCTACAAGTGTAGGTTTCAATTCAGTAAACTGTTTAAGTACCCCTTACGCTGAGTTTGGGCCATAGGCTTAGGTCCCCAGAGGACTATACATACAGAAGATATACGGAGTCACAAAACAGCACTGTGCCCTCTCCCAAGTTGACCAGGTTGTATTTCTGAATAATGAGATATGACACTAGACATAGTCACTTCATTATATTAAATATTCATTCACATTTAAAGGCGGGTCTTTAACTTGAACATGCATTTTACAAAAAGACATGTTGCTCATTAGTGACTGGGCATGCTAAAAGATGTGGTTTCATGTTCATGAAACATAGCTTGTCAGAATGTCATGTACATGAGCATCTACCATTTTGTAAGCTAGCTCTGAAGCAGGGAATCCCTACATGCAAAATGTAGCTAACAGTAAATAGAATTCATGCTTTGCTGAGAAGACCATAAGCCTGTCAGATGTTAGGTAGAGCTCTTCTCTGAAGTTACAATGTGGCCTGAAATGTCATACTCTGTTGTAAACTCTGCAGGGTGTTTAGAGTTCTGTACAGAACCACCTCAGAGTGTGTTAAATCACACACTGCATACTTACACAGTTTCTGTATTTTAGCAGTCATCTTTGATTTATTTTGTTATGGAGCATTAATACTTTCAAGTAGGTAATAGCTAATTAAATTATTGTTTGAAAACCTAGAGTCACATCTTACTGTCAGTTTTTTAATAGATGTCTAGAAATGAATGAGAAGTCTGACTAAAATTCACTTGCATGATGTGGCACTCCATGTTTCAGAGTATGAAACAGTTCAATATTATTACCACTCGTCATAAGACTATGAGTTATAGCACTGCTGCAATTGTGCTCACTGAGTTTCTGATTCAAGGAGGCAACCTCCCAGAGGAAATGGTATATACTAGGGTTCCTAGTGCTAGTGGGATATAAGCAAGCACTCCAGTGCATTCAGAACTGAAGCTGCAAGGTTGTTTTAGTGTCTCTGTTTTCTTCACTGGAATTCATCTCACTCCATTGAAGAGAATAACCAAGAGATAGCTGGCATAAACTCTCATTTATGAAGCTGCAGATTTGCTAGGCTGAGGATTAGGCCTTTATTCATACAAAAGACTAGTTTAGACTTGTCTACTTTAGATTGTCAGAAACAATGTTAGTTTAACTCTGTTAAAGATGTTACTATGCCAAAGTGTGGAAAAGTATGCAAAAAAATCTGTAGAATTTGAACACAGAAAAAACATACACGCACACACACACACAAAAGAACTGAAAAAGCCCCACATAACGCTAATACTAACAAAGGCACTATAAGTAAGTGTCAGTATGCTTCTGAAACCCAACAAGTCCAAAACCCAGTGGAACCAAGACTGGAGTGGGATTCGTTCATATGAGAAAATATCCTGGGGTGGGTCCAGATTTTCTTCATTACATTAGTGTAAAACTTTCTTACTGTGTAGCAAGACCCAAGAATGATGTAAACTAGCTCTTTTTAGTCACTTGACACATTTACATATACCAATTCAGGATCTACACTGTAGTATTTTCACTGCAAAATACAATGATGTATTCTGATTTATGTTGATAACTTCGAACAATAAAACTATAGTGGATAAAAAGGACTTTTTATTGTTAAAGTTGCTTCAACGTTATTTTATTAAGACGACAGTTTTGTCATCACAACTTTAATATAGATACAATTCAGATATACTTGAAAAGAAACTTCTTTGGTTAAGGATATCGTGATTTGTTGTAGAGTTTATATTTAGAAGTGAAAAATGTTCTTTACTGAATAGAGATTTCTAATATATATAAAAGCCATTCTCTGAAAAAGTTTAAAATAAACACCAGAATTGTTTGTGTTGTTTTATCTTGTAGATTGAGCAAATTCTCCAGAATATTGGTGTGCACATTTCAGATGAAAGCTTTGAAGAGATATGGAAGCAAGCCTGTAGGAAACATCAGAGTGGAGAGGTTTGTGTAGAGAGCATCAGAAATGTATTGGATGAAATGCATGCATCGCACACCGAAAGCAGTAGCTAATGCTAGTTCTGGGGTATTGCACTTTACTGTAACATCAATTGTAATTCTGGTGCTGAATGCAATAAATATTTTAAATATGATGTAATTACAAAATTGGAATTCACTGTTTATCGTCTTTCTCAATAATGGATTGATGACAAATATGTATTGGAATTGATGCTCATAGCAGTGAAAGAAGACAGAGTATTCAAATATAGAATACAACTGTTAATCATTATTGTTTTTACAGTATTTCTAAATCTAAAGCATTATATTTTGAGCATGGACACTTCTTACATTTTTGGATTATTTTTTTCCTCTTATAATCAGGAAGAAATTTCTGAAAGTACTTAAACATTAGTTTTGCAAGTTGTCTTAAAGATTGTTATTATAGAATTGGGCCTAGTTTTGCTCTTAATATTCCAGAATTCCTCACCAACAAATACTACCGAACAGACACCTGATTATAATGAGTTATTTGATCTTTTAAAGGTCTGTGACAAAATGCTTTACAGATGAGATACTGGGGAAACTATGTAGTCATGGGGGTCAGATCTGAAGCAGTGTTGTAAAGTAGACTGTAAAATTCTATCCCTTAAAAAGTGCAAAAATAAATGTCCAAGTTTAGGACAGAAGATTCAAATGCTGTGTGTCGCCCTAAGGCTGCTAGGTAGTGCTACTCAATGTTCACAATTGAGGAAAAAAAGAATGAATATTTAAAGGTGCATGTCACTAAGTAAACTCATATTGTCAGAAAAGTCAGAGGGCTTTCAGAGAGCAGACTGTTTACCAGCAACCAATACAATATTTTTTTGAGGAATAATGTAGGTAAAAATTTGAACATCACTATGGAATCTCAATGCCTATATGAAGTAAGATAAGTACTAAAATATAAAGCTATCAATTGTTATGTTCGCTCCTCCCTCTTAGCATAAAAAAAATTGGAAGCATTTTGGTATTGGCAGAGAGAATGATTGCTTCTAGATTTAGATTTGAGATTTTAGATTTCAGATGGGTTAGACTGGGAATGAATTAGAAGTGCTGTTCACTTTACCTCTTCTCCTGCTTGCTTTAAGGGCTTTAAGCACTGAACAGGCTTGTAAATTCTTCTTGTTGATTCTTGTTTTGCATCATGACATATGAGGGACCTCTGAAAGATTTAATCACTGTGACACATAGCCAGTGAATTATGTGGACTTTCTCAGGTCTATATGCATATTTTTTGTTTGCTTGCTTTTGTTAATGGCCTTAGGTACAGAGAGTCCACATGTCAATTTTATTTTTTTTTATTATTCTTTTCCCAGCATGTATGCATTCAGTTTAGTGTTGGATGTTTTCAATTTTATTGGATCTGAGATGGAGCAAAGGACTGAAATAAAAGTAGAAGTGTTTGAAAATGGCACCAAATAATCTTTGAGTGATTTCTTTTAAAAAAGTTGTGAAGGGAGACCTGTGCAATCCCATAGTAATACTTTACTAAAAAAGTTTTCCCCTAGTGAGCAACGAGCCTTGAATGTGTAACAAAAATAAGGGCATTTTTTTTTCCTGATGAGTGTGAGGTGAAGGGCAACTGTAGTGTGCAGCCCAAAGGTCCTTCTTACCCTATGTCCCTTCTGGCTCTGGTCAAAAACAGATGGTTAGGGTCAAGTAGCAGATCACAGCAAACATTATGATAGTTCTTAGTTATCTCCCTGTGCCCCAATCACTTGAACTCCTGGGACCTCTCTGAGAAGAACGTAGGTTTTTGTATTTAATAAATCTTCAGCAGGTTTCTGTGAACTCATCCAGCCTACCCTTGAAAATGTGTGATATTTTAGCATCTGCAACATCTTTTAACAAGAGTTTAATGGCTTAGCAATGTATTGCATAAAAGAATAGGTCTTGCACTTGTTCTGAACCTACCTTCTGATGCTTACAAATGTGCCATATAGTTCTTGTTTTGAAAGAAGCAAGCAATGATGAAACAGTCATTCTCCAGGCATTCTCTGATGCTCTCATTTTTATAGTCTTCTGTTACGTTCCTCTTAGTTGCCTCTTTTCAAGTCTTAGAAGTCCTGACTTGCTTAGACATTTCTTATATGGAAATCAATCTAAATCTTTAATTCTGCGTGTTGCTTTTATCTGAACCTTTTCTGATTCTGCAGGAC